AGGAGACCAGCATGCAAAACTTTATCAAACGCTTTAGAAATGTCAAGAGCAATAGCCTTAACCTCTCCACCTTTATCTAATGCGCGATAAAACCTATGGGTTATTACTGTTAGCAAATCAGCTGTAAAACGAGAAGATGGAAATCCATATTAATGATCAGAAAGTAGGTTATGAGATTTGAGATGAGAAATTAAGTGTTTGTTAATTAAAGATTCAAAAGCCTTGCTTGTGATAGGAAGAAGACTAATGGGATGCTAGTTAGACAAATCTGATCGCTCTCCAGAATTTTTAAAAATAGGGATAACAGATGTTGCTTTCCAGCAGGCTGGAAAACAAGACTCTGATAAGCACTTGTTAAATAGGTTTAAAAGGATAGGCGACAGCTACGGAGAACACTTCTGCAAGACAATAACAGGTATGTTGTCTGGGCCGCAAGCTGTAGTAGAGTCTAAGCGGGAAATCACTTTAGATACAGACGCTGGAGTGATACGAATGTCGAGCAATGGATCAACCTGTTTGACGGCTATATCAAGTAGAACGCAACTAGTGGCATCAAGAGATGATATTGATGAAAAGTTCTTGGCAAACAATTCAGCTTTGTCTTTAGGTGAGGTGACAAAGTCTGAACCATACAAAAGAGGTGGAATTACAGACTTGCCCTTATTATTGATACTATTAAAGATTCTCCAGAAGTCACGAGAGCCTAATTTTTGTGATGAAATATGAGATTTCATGATCTGAGAATAGCAGGCTTTGGCGTAAGACAAAACCTTTTTACAATGGTTCCTAGCAGTAATAAACGGATGTCTATTTTCTGGAGAATTGTTTTGCTGATAGATATGGAAGTAATGGTTTCGATTGGCGATTGCAGTAGTACAATGTGAGGAAAACCATGGAGAAGAGTGAGGCTTGACCTGGAATCTTGAGAGGGAATAAAGGATTCCATGCCAGCCTGAATCCACGAAGTTATCTAAGAAGCACATTTGTCAACAGGGAGATAAAAGATTTCTACCCAGGTTCCATCACAAATAAAATCATGGAAAGAGTCCCAGTCAGCTTTAAGGTAGTTATAAGATGTATGATGATAGGGGGATTCTGATGGTAAAGAAGAATGAGATAAGAGTTTTAATGAGACCAAATCATGATCATAAGCACCTTAGGGTGAGTGTGAAGAAACTGAGCACTGACTAGGATCAGAAACAAGACATAAGTCAAGTAGGGAAGGTAAATGATTCGGGTTGTCTGGAAAGCGAGTTGGAAAGTTGACTATTTGAGTTAGGGATTGAGAAAGACAAAAGTTGTGGGCCTTAATGCCTGCAGAGTCACTGACACTAGAGCCAAGCCTTTCAGTGTGATGAACATTAAAGTCATCGACAACAACAATATTGGCTGATGGATAAAGAATGAGGGCTTGGTCAATATAATCAGAAATAACATCAAGAAGAGTGCAGTCTTGAGATGAAGGAGAGCGATATAGAATAAAGAGAAAGGTGATAGAGTGAAGTGGTGCTAAACGAAAGCACTTAAAAGAGTGGTCTGTGGATTCAAACCTAGTTTCCCGACAAATGGGTGAATTCTTACGAATGTAAATCCCCAGGCCAAGCATGTGACTATTGGAGTCTTTACGAATTAAAGGAAGATAACTATCAACACTAAGATCACAAGATGAGACAGCTGAACTCAAATTAGTCTCACAAAGAGCAAGTAGTCTGGTGAACTTTGCAAGAGATAAGACTCAACAGAAGAAAAGTTACTTCCAAGACCTTGAATATTGGTGATTGATAGGTTTAGCGAACTTGGTAATGACTGTGGTTTTTTGTGTTTTATAGTTTTTGTTGCTTTATTCATTTTTAAATTTGTTAAAGAACTTGACTCGAAACATAGATAGTACTCAGTACACTGTTTTATAGCTCAAGCAATTGCCTCATTTCCACTAATAAACCCTAAGCCGAAACAAAGGGCTCCAATGTGGCCTTGGCAATGCACACCAAAAGTACAGACAGGGACACCATCCATGCGCAACATGGCACGGTTAGTACTCTGATGTTTTTCAGCCGTTGTTGGAATCTGCTTCTCTAAGAGCTACCACAGAGTTCTGGAAACCTGACTACCAGCCGGCCTCATAACCATAAAACTGAGTTTTAGAGCTGTACCCTTATTTGGAGATATTAGAATGAGTTGCCTAGTCATAAAAACAGAGACACAAGCAAAATCCATTAATCGAGTCAAGAAGATCCAGCATTCAACATCAAAAAAAAAAAAAACTGAAAACAATGTATTAAAAATACATCTGCGCCAGCCTAATAGATAAAGAAGGGGTGCGAGGCTGGTCAACAGATAGAATCTATTTACCCCTTAAGAGTTTGCCAAGGAGGCCTTCTACAAGACAGCAGCTGGATGCATGTAACATCTGCCCAAGATGAGTATTTTTATCGAGACACCATCTCTAGCCTTTACTCAACCAAGAGCCCCAAGGCAGGGGGTGTTTTATGTCAGAGTTTGCATCTCCTAGCCTTTGCCTAAAAAGGCATATCCTACAAGGCAGCAGGACATGAAGCAGATTGTACTGGGTTACATGTTACCAGTAGCAGGATCAACCTGACCTGACATATTTAGTTAACAAAAAGCTTAGTCAGTTAATTTTAGTTAAACAAAAAGTCAGTTAACTTTACTTAAACAAAATATATATATATATATATATATATATATATATATATATATATATATATATATATATATATAATATATATATATATATATATATATGTATATGTATATATATATTTTTAAAGGATTTTTCAAAGGGGATGTTTTCAATGGGGATATTTTCAAAGAGGGATATTTTAATATGGTTATAAGAGGGAATCAATAAAGTTATAAGAATGAATCAATTAAAGTTGAATCAATAAGGTAAACAAGGATTTTTTGTAAGAGAAACAAGGTTTTTCTGTTTTAAATCAACCCTTGATATTTGATATCTGTTCTGAAGCCCTAGCAAATGATATCTGTTGATATCTGATCTAAAGCCTTAGCAAATAACATCTGTTGATATTTGTTCTGAAGCCCTAACAAATTTTTTTGTTTGGAATTATCCCTTATCCTCAGTTATTACCTACTTTAAAATTTTAACTAGTTTTTTTGTTTTGAGTCAACCTCAACCCTTAGTCAATATCTGTTCTGAAACCTTTGCAAATAGTTATTTCATGTTTCAGACATTTTTCAGCATTAAGTGTTCTATATAAATTATTTCAAAATATATTTATAGCTAAAAAGGTTCAATTGCAACTCACTTTGGTTTTAAAAAGACTTTTTTTTGAAACAATATAGATAATGCTTTTATGCAATAAATTTTTAGTTTGTGGGTGACACTGTTAAGCGTAGCATTCTCTTTGATTAATATTGTATTTTGTATAAAGATTTATTTTTTTATTAGGGTAAGGTGAGGAAGTTTGTTTTACTTTAACAAAATAAATTTGCATATAAATAAGTAAACTTTTCTAGTTTAAAAACATTTTTTTATTAATTAGGGTCTCTACTTTTTTAATGTAATGAATCAAAATAAATTCTAAAGTTACTTTAGTGTAGAACTTGATTTTTTTTATCATCAAGTCATGAGGTGAGGTGAATTGGCCAGTACAACAAACTTATTGAAAAATATGACACTTGGGCGATAAACAAAATTCTTTGCTAGTGGTAAAGGCAGCTTACCTAGGAGAAAACTATGGTATAAAATATTTTTGAGGTAATAGTAGGATGATTTCCTTAATCTAGATTATTTAACCTCTAAGTGACGTAGATAGAACTACTGAAAGCCAGCAGATAGCTACAGAATTAAGAATTACATAAGTAGCCTACAGATAATGACAAGATAGAATTACTGAAAGTCAGTTTCCTGATTTCTAAAGCATCTAAAAGGATGTCAATTGTTAAACTTTTTCTAGAAAGTATCAAATAATGATTTTTGGCATAAATGAAAACCGTCTAACTGTGCTAGCGCACATAATAGCATGTTAAAGCTATAACAAAAATTACATCACTACTATGACTATTTAAGAATTTACAAACATTTACATGTCCTTTGCCTGTAGTTTGCGCGTGTATCAACTCCAAAACATCCTTCATTTGCCTACTAACTGCAACTTAAACATTCAAGCCAAGCTCT